AAAAGCAATAAAAAAAATCAAACACTTGGAGGCTAAATAGCATGTTATTAAACAATGATTGGGTTACCAAAGAGATCAAAGAAGAAATAAAAAAACATCCTGGAAATAAATGACAATTAAAACACAACAACCCCAAATCTATGGGAAACAGTCAAAGCAGCCCTGAGAGGAAAGTTAATAGCATTACAGGCCTACCTCAAAAAAACAAAAAACAAAAACAAAAAACAAGAAAAACATAATATGCTATCTAACTCTACAACTTAAAGAATTAGAAATAGAGCAACACGAAAAGCTTAGAATGAGCATAAGGAAGGAAATAATAAAGATTAGAGCAGAAATAAATGGCATATAGACCAAAAAAACCCCAAAACAATACAAACAATGAATGAAACCCAGAGCTGTTGTTTTGAAAGGATAAACAAGATTGATGAACCTCTAACCAGGCTTACCAAGAAGCAAAGAGTGAGGACCTAAATATACTATGAGCAACTCTATTCCAACAAACTGATCAACCTAGAAGAAATGCACATATTTCTAGAAAAATACAACCTTCCAAAACTTAATCAGGAAGAATAAAAAAAGTCTGAATAGGCTGATAACTATGGAGGAAATTGAAGCAGTAATCAGAAAACTTCCAGCAACCAAATCCCTGGGCCAGATGGCTTCACAGGGGAGTTTTACCAAACATTCAAAGAAGAACTAAAACCTATCCTCCTCAGACTATTCCAAAAAATTTAAGATGAAGGAACACTCCCAATTTCTTTCTATGAAGCCAGCATTACCCTAATCCCAAAACCAGATAAAGACACTACACAGAAAGAGAATTACAGGCCAATATCTCTGATGAACATAGATGCTAAAATCCTCTACAAAATTCTAGCAAATCAAATCCAGCATTACATTAGAAAGATCATACACCATGACCAAGTGGGATTTATTCTGGGGATGCAAGGATGGTACAATAGCCGAAAATCAATAAATGTAATACATCACATAATCAAATTGAGAGAAAAAAAATCACTTAATACAGGGTGTTTTTCATTTCTTCTCTGATCTCTTTGGTAACCCAATCATGGTTTAATAACCTGCTATTTAGCCTCCAAGTGTTTAAATTTTTTTTACTATTTTTTATTGTAGTTTATTTCTAATATTATGCTATTGGAATCTGAGAAGATGCTTGATTTGAGTTCAGTCTTCTTGAATTTGAAGAGATTTAGCCAGTGTACCAATATGTGATCTATCTTTGAAAACATCCCATGTGTGCTTGAGAAGAATGTATATTCTGTGGCTTTGGGGTGAAATGTTCTTAAGATATTAAGTCCATCTCATCTAGTGAGTCATTTAGGATTCCTGTTTCTTTGTTGATTTTCTTTGAGGGTTTATCCAGTGATGTAAATGGGGAGCTAAAGCCTGCCCGGAGGTACTATGCCACTCACCGCTGGGTTATGGTTGTGGTTCCACATGGGTTATGGCTGGAAAGTGGCATTGTCTAGGCATCCTCTGCCCTTCCTTATTGAAAATTGTCTCCCCAGCTGTGTCTAATTTGTTAATTTAGGGTGGATGTTCTCTTATTTAGTTGCTTTTCTGGTCTGGCCCTAGGAGGAGGTCCACGACACGGCTGCCTATTCAGTAGCCATTTTCTCTGTTGCCCCCAGCTGCTAATTTTCAGTACTATGTCATTGAAGGAGATCAAGATATACTCTATTTCTGTTACTCAGTTTAGCATGCCATCTTTATTTATTTTTAAATTCTTTATTGTTGAAAGCATTACATATGTTCCCTTTTCCCTCCATTGACCTCTCCCAGCCTGCCCCTTGCCCCCACCCCAGGCCTTCACCCCCCTATTGTCTGTGTTCATGGTTATGAATATATGCATACAAGTTCACTGGTTGAGCTCTTCCCACCACCCACCCTCCCTTGCCTTCCCTCTGGGGTTTGTCAGAGAAAGTTATATATCACATGATCTCCCTCATATGGAGAATATAATGAACAACATAAACTGATGAGGAAAAATAGATCCAGAGACATAGAAGCATCAAACAGACTAGCTTGCCATCTTTAAGTTGATGAGGTTTTTGTTCAGCTTTGTTGAGGCATAGTTTACATTTAAAAGTTTGATAACTGGTAATCTTTTGCACTTTTTATGGGCTTTAAATAAATTTAATTTATGACATTTGGTAATAGAATTCTATTATTCCTAGACTATTAATTTTATGTGCATTCTTGTCTCTCATGCGTAAATGATGATGATGTAGATTCTTTAGAACAGCATGAAGTTCGTTAAGAGCCCTACAGTGCTTAGTATGGTCCTGCATATGACCTGAACACTAACTTTGAGATACAGAACTTAATTTGTTCAATCAGAAAGTGTTAACTAATACAAAAAAACGTTTGCTGATTGGATTTGTGCACTATAAATATCTTGACCTTTTTTAAATTCTATCTCAGGGTGTAATAGTAGAATGAAACTCAGTGGCCGACCCTACAGACACATGGGAGTCCTTGGAACTTCAAAACTCTACGACATTCGGAAAACTATCTTTACCTTCACTCCACAGGTGTGTGGAATGAGCTTTACCATGCATAGAGATGAATAGAAATAAGAGAGAATCATTACAGAAATAAAGTATTTACTGGAGTTTGGACAAGTGTCAAAGATCCACAGGCCCTGTACATATTAAGTTACTCAGTAAATACTTGTTGAGTTGTACTGAAATGAATTTCTAGCACAGAGTTATGCCAAGTGATTATGGCTACCAAGAGTAGTCCTGGGTATTGCAGAAGTAGTGACTAGAGATTTTACAGATGTTTGAGTATTTTAAAAAGTACTTCCTACTTTTTATTTGTATTTATCCTTTATAAACAAAATGTAGTCTTTTTATTCAGCTACCAAATTATGTGTTCTCTTTTGGGAGGTGGGGCTCTTAACAAGCCTGGAGATCTTTGATATCCTCTTCTAAACAAAAAAGGTCAATACTGTTTTAGCCATGATTGTTTCCCTGATATTTATTAGCCACATTATAATAGTAAGCCCAATTATTTGTGTATATGAGGAGGAGAAATCACTTTCTGGAAAGAAAGCTTAAGCTCTCCATTTGTCATCTGACATCTGAATTAGTGCAGCTGAGATATAGACAAGAAATATTGGATCATAAGTTATACTTTTAATCTTGCCATTTGCTAGCTATATAACTGCTAATCTACTTAATGTCTCTTTGGCCTTATTTTTATCTATTAAAAGAAGAAAAGCCCTTACTAGGTTGTTACACAAATATAATTGTGTACTTGAAAACACTTTGTAAATTATAACACACTGTAAAATATAAAAATTATCATACGTGTCATTGGACCGCCAGAAGAATTAAGAATTACATTTGGAGGTATTGTTGCCTTTATGACATTGTATATGCCCTTTTGAATATGAGAATGGTTTAAAATTGCTTTATTTGATAGTTATGAGAGTAAATTATTCTGAGCTATTATTTTTATTTTTCTCAGTTTATAGACCAGCAACAGTTCTACTTGGCTCTGGACAACAATATGATAGTGGAAATGCTTAGAACAGACCTCTCCTATCTCTGTAGCCGCTGGAGGATGACAGGACAGCCCACCATCACCTTTCCCATCTCACACACCATGCTTGGTAAGATTGTATGAAGCATGGAATAAATGTTTATTTGGAAGAAGTCATGTGGTTAGACCTTTAAAGTCCTGGAGTCACTGAAGAGCTACTTATTATCATTTATTATTTCAGCAGTTATATATTAGCTTCTACTTTGTGCCAGGCAATTTTCTAAGGACTAGGATACATGAAGTGAATAAGGCAGATGAGGTTTCTACTCTCATGGACCTTATGTTTTATAATAAATATATAACAAATAAACTAATACATAAGATTATTTCAGGTAGTTTGAGAGCTATAATTTTTTTAAATGTAATAAAATAACTTGGTTGGAGGCAAATTCAGATAATTGGTTTCTAGGTCAATTTTCAGAAACTTTATAAGTACAATTCATTTACAGTAATACTACATTATGCATCTGTATAACTCCAGTGAAGCATCAAGATTTTGGAGATAAATTCCCAGACATCTCCCTCCAAGGCTTATTTAACTGAACCAGTAAAATCTAGCAGGGGAAAATGAAAAGGCTTTCAGTTTATCTTTCCTTTATTGTCTGGGCTTCCTAATATTACTCACTTAAAACTAGGTGATAGGCTTTATTGTTCTCAGTTCCTGAAGGACTACAGTCAATGCTGAAGCACTGCTTCCTTTCCGTGTCTCTGTTGTTGCTTCCAAAAGCCTATTTGTACTGCCAAAGTACATAGAATTCCTTTTCATTAGAGAAGAACCCCTTGTCATAAATCATTCCAAGTTCAGACAGACTGTTAGGGATTTTGCTGTCTCCTCTTAAAGTGATTCAAAAGCACAGGAGTTGAAGAAGTAGGGTAGTCCTTCTTCTTGTCTTTCTTACTTATTTAAGACAATCAACAAGTGCACATTTAATAATTACTGTGTTCCTAGAATTGTATTCAGAAAGTGTAAAACCTAATTGGAGAGGCAAAGCTAATACACAAAAATAATAGAAAATAATTTAAGGCAGTATATAAAGAAGCACTAAACCCTTAGATTAGTATTTTTATACAGTGAAGGTGATCATGTTGTCAAATAAAATTTCTTGACTGAGGTGGGACTTATTATAAGTTTTTCAGATGAGTACTATTCATGTGGTAAGAGGGAAAGGTATTTTAAGTGAGGAAAAAAATTCCATGAGTGAGATCTGGAGACAGGGATGAGCTTGACTTGTGAGTAAGCAGTGGAGTATAATTATCAACAAAATTGGATAAATAAGTGGGATCATATTATGAAAACCTTGAAAATAAGCAGCTATTTAAAACAGATTTTTTTCAAAACTCTGAAACGTAAGTTTTTGAATAATCAGTGACATGATGAAAGTGATATTGATTTGATGACAGTATACTATAGTGAGGACAATCTTATAGCAAAGAAACTAATCTAGTTATGAGGTGATAGAAGATACATTTGATTGGTGGTAGTAAAAGTATAGTGGGAAAGAAGGATACAAGAGTCAGTAAGTCAGATGTTGGCTAACTAGTATGAGATATGAATCAAAACAATGCTAAGATGCCCTAGCTGGCTTGGCTCAGTGGATAGAGCATCGGCCTGCAGACTGAAGGGTCCCAGGTTCAATTCCGGTCAAGGGCATGTACCTTGGTTGCGGGCACATCCCTAGTAGTGGGTGTGCAGAAGGCAGCTGATTGATGTTTCTCTCTCATCGATGTTTCTAACTCTCTATCCCTCTCCCTTCCTATCTGTAAAAAATCAATTAAAATATATTTTTAAAAAATAATGATACGATTTCCAGACTAGGTAAGTAATGCTGTCATTGATAGAGGCATTCTATAGGAAGGTGTCATTTGTAAAGGGGCATGTTGAGTTTGTGGTTACAAAGAGATTTCAAAATTAAAATACCTAATACAGTCATGTGCCACATAATGATGTTTCAGTCAATGACAGACCATGTATACAATGGTGGCCCTGGAAGATTATAATGGAGCTGAAAAATTTTTATCACCTGGTAACACCAGCACAAGGCATTGTTTATGTGTTTGTGCTGATGCTGGTGTAAACAAACCTGTGCTGCCAATTATATAAAAGTATAGCACATACACTTATATACAGTACGTAATACTTGATAATGATAATAAATGACTGTTAACAGTTCATGAATTTACTATACTATACATTTTATCATGATTTTAGACTTTACTCATTCTACTTATAAAAAATGTTTGCTGTAAAGCAGTATGTCATGTTATTCCAGCAGCAGACTCATACATTTTATGTTTAACACATCTCTTGATTGCCTTAGGTCATTTGTGTGTGTGTGCTTAATTTAATCTTGTGTTGTTTTGTACAGTAATATGCTATACATGCTTGTAGCCTAGGAGCAATAGGCTATACCATGGACCCTAAGTATGTAGATGGTTGTACTATCTAAGTTTGTGTAAGTGCACTCTATGATGTTCACACAATGTTGAAATTGCCTAACAAAACATTTCTCAGAACATATCCCCATCATGAAGTGCCACATGACTGTAGTTGGGATAAAATACACAGCCATAACTTGGGAAGAAGAATAAAACTAAGTATCTAGATTCAAATCGCAAAGTTTTAATACTTAGTACAACAAAAGTAGCAGTAACAACAGAAATAATAACTGCAATGTTTAATGAACACTTTCTCTGTGACAGACACTGAGCTTTCAGTGCATTATTTTGAAATCTTCACAACAACCCTATTCAGGTAGGTACTATTAATAGCCCTGTTTTATAGATGAGGAAGGTGACTCATTGTGAAGAGTCAAAATTAGTAAATGAACAGAGTCAGGCTTCGTACCAGATCTATCAATCTCCACAGCATATATTATCAATAGCTGTTTGTTTTCTCATATAAAAGACAAAGATTCCCAGAATATATAAAAGAGAAAAATCTATCTTAGATGTTAGTTAGAAAAGATATCCCTAAAATAAAAACATGTTGATAATAAAGGGATGTGTAAAGACATATCATGCAATTGCTAACAGAAAAAAGCAATGGAGATCCAAGGTGGCTGTGAAATAAGTGGAAGCTACACTCACCTTCTCCCAGTAGCAAACCGGAATTATAACTAAGTTATAGATCAATCAACCTGAATAACCAACTGAAGAGTAGCTGAACAGAAGTCTTATAACCAAGGATTTACAGAGGAAGCCACATTGAGACTGATAGGAAGGGCAGAAATGCAAAAAGGACTGGCCCTGCACTCATTTGTGGAAGCTGAGAATCCAGAGGGATATCTCAGCTGCAAAGGTCCTCCTTGTGAAGCAAGAGGTCTCAACCCCACATTGGGGCTCCCCATCTCAGAACACCAGAGCTGGGAAGAGGTGCCCATGTAAACATCTGACTGTGAAAACCTGTGGGGATTCTGTCCAACAGGGAGAGACAGGAGTCTACTATAACCTGAGGTGCCCTCTTAAAAGGCCAGTGCACAAAATCTCATTCTCAGGCACTCACCCATGGCTCTGGTGGAGGTAAGGTGACGCAGAGAAAACTGGAGTTATACAGAGAAGAACTGGGTTGTGTGGCCACGAGGGGAGACCTGGAGGATCAGCTATCAAGGTCCCTGTGCTGAGTCCCTATTCTATACTTTCCAGAGACATCAATTGCCCTTGGTCAAGCCACCCTATTCATACAGAACCAGCCTGGAGCAGGCCACTAACCATGTACTCAAGATTCCCAGTTACCCAACCCTGCCGACTCACACCCTGCTGAAACCTCTGCTGGCTGCACCCAGCTTGGGCCTTCTGTTTTCTCTTTTGGGGGGAGCTCTTGTAATGACTCAGGCAGATACTGAGTGGTGTGGCTGTGGAGCAGGGGCCATTTCTCCCCTCTGCACACCTGTCAGGCACTGCCCGCCAACAGGAGTTAAATGAGCTTTGTCCTTCCAACTTTCACTGGTCCTGCCTTGCTGAGCTAACACCCTGCAGAAAGGTCTACAGGCTGCACTCAGCTTGGGCCCCTGGTGTACTCTTTTTTAGGAAACACTTGAGAAGATCTGGGTGGTCTCAGGGATTGATGGCAACTTGGGCAGAGAATGAATTGTGTGACTCTGGAGCAGAGGCTGTTTCCGCCCCCTGTGCACCTGACCAGTGCCACCTCCTCCACAGGAGGTCCACTAGTTTCATCCTCCAAACTCTGGGAGGCCCCACCCAGCCAAGCTCACATCTTGTGGAGCAGACTGTGTACTGTGGCCAGCCCATGCCCACTCTACAGACATTTTTGGAAGGCTCTTGATGAAGTCCAGGCAGCCTCAAGAGGTGACAGAGCATCGGACAAGCAGAGGTGGATCTGGAGGTACCTTAGGCCTTTTGCTGACCTGCACCTGGGTTCAGAGCTGGTGGAAGCTAATCTTGGTACATAGGATGGCCCCTCCCATGTGCACCCAGGCCCAGCAGAGGTAGCCACGAAGTGTGGAACACTTGATAGCTCCAGACAGGCAGCATCTGACATTGACCTGCACCAGAGTTCTTCCTAAGAGTCCAACTAAGAGAGTGCTGGTTCAATTCCAGGTTAGGGCACAAGCCTGGATTGTTGGCTTGATCCCCATTGTGGGTGTGGGTGTGTGCAGAAGGCAGCTGATCGATGATGTTTCTCTCTCAATGATGTGTCTATCTCTACCCCTGTTCCTCTCTCTCTAAAAAATCAATAAAGGGAAAAAAATTTTAAAAAGACACAACTACAACAGGAGGGCTCACGTAACCCAAAAAAAGAAAAATTATGGAGCACCTAGCTCAGGTGATCAAGAACATTGCGCCACTGAGACCCACAAGACACCTACTACATAAGGCCATCATACCAGGACTGGGAGACATAGCAGATCTACGTAATACACAGAAACAAATGCAAAGAGGCAGCCAAAATATGTAGAGAAACAGGTCCCAAAGAAAATAATAGGAGAAATACCAAGAAAAAGAATGAAATTAAATGGAGGCAATCAAGCTACCAGAGGCAGAGTTCAAAACAATGGAGATAAGGATGCTCAATGAACTTAGGGGAAGAATGGATGAACTCAGTGAGAACTT